ATTTACATATTTATAGAAACTTTTGCTGCCTGTTTTTATATTCTGAGCTAGTTTACTCTCATAATCTATCTTACTTCTCTTTATAACTTTTTTTGTGGTTTTCTGTTGGCCTTTAAAGATTTCCCAGTCTACTAGTTTCCCACTACTCTTTGCTTTTTTGTATGTGTTTTTTTTCAATCTGATACTTTCCTTTATTTCCTTAGACATCCATGGCTGGCTCTCTCTTTTCCTACAGTTCTTCCTCATCACTGGAATATACTTCTGCTGAGCACTGTGAAAAATGGTTTGAAAGTCCTCCACTGTTCCTCAATTGACCCACCATAAAGTTTTTGCTCCCATTCTACCTTAGCTAACTCCTCCCTTTGTTTAAGCACAGGACATAGGTACTGGATTTAACCTTCTCACGTTCCATCTGTATTTTAAATTCGACCATACTGTGATCGCTCCTTCCGAGAGGATCCCTAACTGTGAGATCATTAATTATTCCTGTATCATTTCACAGGACTAGATCTAGGATAGCTTGCTCCCTCATAGGTTCCATTACATATTATTCAAGGAAATTATCGCGGATGCATTCTATGAACCCCTCCTCAAGGCTGCCATGACCGACCTGGTTTGACCAATCGATATGTAGATTAAAATCCCCCATGATAATTGCTGTACCATTTTTACATGCATTAGCTATTTCTATGTTTATTGCCCACCCCACCACGATGTCATTATTTGGTGGCCTACAGACCACACCTATCAGTGACTTCTTCTCCCTGCTATTCCTAATTTCCACCCAAATGGATTCAATGTTTTGTTCAGTCGAACCTATATCATCTCTCACTACCGCCCTGATATCATCTTTAAAAATCAGAGCAATACCACCTCCCTTACCTTCCTGTCTGTCCTTCCGTATAGTTTGATACCCCTGGATATTTAACTCCCAGTCATGACCATTCTGTAACCATGTCTCTGTAATGGCCACTAAATCATACCCATTTGCCACGATTTGCACTTTGTTTCGAATGCTCCGAGCATTCAGATAGAGTACCCTTATGCCAGTTTTTGCACCTTCTTTTTGGGTCCTATTACCTCCATTACTAACAGCTCGAGTTCTCCTTCCCTTTAACATTTTTCCTAATTTTCAATGGAGTTGAAGCTTCCTCGTCACCTGCTAACCTGTTGCTTTGCCTTACATTAATTGTTATTCTCCCTCTACGCTCACTTCTCCCTTCCCCCCTACTTCCTAGTTTAAAGTCCTATTAACCACCCTATTTACCCTTTTCGCCAGAACACTGGACCCGGCCCTGTTCAGGTGGAGTCCATCCCAGCAGTATAGATCCCTCCTGTCCCAGAACTGATGCCAGTGCCCCATGAAAAGGAAACCGTCTTTCCCACACCACTCTTTTAGCCACGTGTTTACTTCCCTGATCCTCGCCTCCCTATGCCAATTTGCACGTGGCTCGGGCAGCAATCCAGAGATTATGACCCTCGAAGACCTGTTTTTTAATTTTGTTCCTAGCTTTTCATAATCCCGAAACAGGTCTTTTTTCTTAGTTCTGCCTATGTTGTTGGCACCTACGTGGACCACAACAACTGGATCCTCCCCCTCCCTCTCTAGTATCCTCTCAAGCCGGTCAGAGGTGTCTCGCACCCTGGCACCGGGCAGGCAACACACCATGTGGGATTTTCTATCCTGCTCACAAAAGATACTGTCTATCCCCCTGATGATGGAATCCCCTACAACTACAATCTGTCTTTTTGCTCCCCCCTCTTGAATGGCCTCCTGGACCATGGTCAGTTGATTCATCCTTCCTGCAGCCCTGTTCCTCATCCACGCAGGGAGCAAGTGCCTCATACCTGTAGGACAATGTCAAGGGCTGCGGCTCCTGTGTTCCTGTCTGCAGGGTCTCTCTACCTGCCTCGCTCACAGTCACACACTGCTGTCCCTGCCCACCGATCGAATTAACATTAGTTAATCTACCAGGTGTGACTGCCTCCTGGAACACAGCATCCTGGTATTTCTCCCACTCCCGGATGTGCCACAGTGTTTGGAGTTCAGATTCCAGCTCATCAATTTTGAGCCGGAGCTCCTCAAGCAGCCAACACTTGCTGCAGATGTGGTCACCGCCGTTCTCAATGGGATCAGCTAACTCCCACATCATACAGCTACAACACATCACCTGGCCTGCCATCTCTACTTAGTTAATTATTTAAAATTAATTAGTTTTTTTTAGTTTTGCAGTGTTCTCTGCACCAGTAAGTTTAGTTAACTCCCAAATTTATCGGGTGGAAGCTTACCTTCTCAGGCTGCCCTTGCGCTTTCTCCCGGACTCCCGCCGCTGAAACAACTGAAAGGTTGGTGAGATATGACCTTCCCAATCAATTGTCATTCAGATAATAAACTGGCTGTTTTTGCTACAAAATGAAAAACCTCAAATTTATCCACATTATATTTTTTTGTCCGCTCAACTATGTATTTGTCCACTCAATTTGCTCAGATCACAAATTCGCTTGATGGACAAGTTGTCCCCATTCTGAGCAATTGGTGGCAAATTCCTCCCAGTTATGAATATTATTGCCCCAAATCATGGCGGCACCGCATGCGCACTCCTCCAACCATACCCCCACGTCGCCATGACTTACTCCGCACATGTTCCAATCAAATACCTTCTGCTCCTGCGTATGTTTTCCTATTCTATGAATAAGGGACATTCACCACCCCCTAGCATTCTGGCTAACCAAGCAGCCATTGCTTGCTCGACTTACGGTATTCTTGTTGTGGGGTTCGGATAGCTCAGTTGGTTGGACCACCTTCAGTTCTATTCTTTTTCTTAGCTAAGTTCCCTTATACAACAAACGCACACATATTGACAGTATTCCAAATGTGGTCTGATGTAGTATAGTTGAGACTTGTATATTTGCGCAGGACATGCCTATATTCAGACTCATTCCATTTGAAACGAAGGCCAATATTCCATTTCCTTTCCCTACTGTCCCCTAAACCTGTATGCTAGCTTTTTGTGATCGTGGGCAAAGTGTCTAAATCACCTCTGTCCTTTTGCTGTCTGTAGTCTTTCTCCAACTGAATAATATTCAGCTCTATTCTTGTTAGCATTCTGCATAGCCTTACATTATCTACACGTGTGAAATACGGAATCACAACAACGTCAATGCTGAAAACCATAAAAGATTTCAACAACCTCAGTGCTGAAAGACTACCCTAACAATTACAATGATGAAATACAACAACAACCATAATGCTGAAATGCAATAACAAATTCAACAACAACCTCAATTGGGAGAAACAGTATCCATTCCAACAAGATCAAAGCTAAAATACATCAGCAAATTCAGTGCTGAAATAAACAAACACAACAATCCCAACATGAAAACACAACAAGAAGTTCAGCAACAACTTCCATCCACAGAACAAATTCAACAAACTGGATGCAGAAGTGCTACATCTTCAATAAAAGCCTCACTATTGCAACACAAATGATGAAATGCAACATTTATAATGAATAAAAAGAAAAAATTGACAATCACATTCTAAGAATACAACAAATTCAGCAATAACCTCCAATGCAGATGAGCAACAACAGTCTGAACTGTAATCTCAAGGCTGAAATAAAATAACAATAACCTCAATGCCGAAATAAAACAATAACCTTGATGTTGAAATACAGCAACTATGATATTGAAATACAATAAAAGTTCAACAGCATAAATGCTGTGAAAAAGAACCCTTTTAATTCAACACATAACCTCAATGCTGAAAAAACAAACAAATTAATCCAGTCTTCTGAATCACCAGTAAATTCAAACTGAAAAATTGTTAGTAACCTGCATTTAATATGGAATGTATTTCAGTCAGTCATCCTTCCTCATACACACCATTGAGCTCGTACTGATGAGAGGCTGTTCACCAGCTCCATGGTGGAATGGTTTCACTCTTTCTGACAACCTCCATTCATGATTAATAGTGGTGAGCCACAGAATCAAATACCTAATTTCAAATCACGAACAAAAACAAAGTTGCTGGAAAAGCTCAGCAGGTCTGGCAGTTTCTGTGAGGAAAATAATCAGAGTTAACATTTCGGGTCCAGTGACCCTTCCTTGAACTGTTCTGCCACAGAAATTCGTTGAGACGAAAACAAAGAAGGTTTTGAACCAGGATTTATCCCTTGTATTAGGAATGAAAGGGATCAAAAGATTTTGGAAGAAAGTGGAACAGTGGTAAAGTTGGATGATGAACCATGTTCATACTGAATGATGCCACAGACTCAAAGTGCCTAATGTTCTACTCCTGCTACCATTTTATGGGATAGGACAGGGATGGAGGGATCACTTCTTGTGTGGAATGAATTTCCTGAGGAAGTGGTCATACGGGCACAATTACAACGGTTAAAAGACACTTAGATAAGTATATAAATAGGAAAGGTTTGGAGGGATATAGGCCAGGAGCAGGCAGGTGGAATTAGTTTAGTTTAGTTTGGGATTATGTTCGACATGGACTGGTTGAACTGAAGGCTCTGTTTCTGTGCTGCACGACTCGACAACACTCTCCATGTTTGTGAATATCCACAGAACAAGAATGGCAGTGCACAGGCATACTGCGGGAAGAGTATGGAGCATGCGCAGAACGCATCAATGATTGAGGTGGACGTTTCTTTTGCAGCTCGGAAAAAATTTCTGATAACGTCGGACGAAGAGGTGCAAAAAACAGGCAGCTAAACAGATACGTTTCGAAAGCATGTTAGGTAAGCCGTAAACACGAACACGATCTTGTGCTGCCGCTGTTTCGCGCCGCTCCCGTTGTTTAGAGCTGGGTTCACGACCGCCAAATGGCGCAGCGGCCATGTTCATTCTGGGCATCATTTAGCACTGCGCATGGTTCCGCCATCTTTGTAGGGGGCAATGTTCCGCACTGGGCGGAGTTTGCCACCAATCACTGCGAAACAGGACAAATTATTCACACAACACAGTGTGGAGCTGGAGGAACACAGCAGGTCCGTTAGCATCAGAGGAGCAGGAAAGTTGACGTTTCGGGTCGGAAACATTCTTCAAAAAAGCCAATCAGAGATAGTAGGAACTGCAGATGCTGGAGAATCCGAGACAACAAGGTGTAGAGCTGGATGAACACAGCAGGCCAAGCAGCATCATAGGAGCAGAAAGGCTGACGTTTCGGGCCTAGACCCTTCATCAGAAAAGGGGGAGGGGAAGGGGGTTTTGAAATAAATAGGGAGAGAGTGGGAGGCGGATAGAAGAGGGATAGAGGAGAGGATAGGTGGAGAAGAAACAAACAGGTCGAAGAGGCGGGGATGGGGCCAGTAAAGTTGAGTGTAGGTAGGGAGTTAGGAAGGGGATAGGTCAGTCCAGGGAGGACGGACAGGTCAAGGGGGCGGGATGAGGTTGGTCGGTAGG